TGTCACTCCATGCCCTTGTGAAAAGTGCACAGAGGAGTTTGGAGGACTTGGAAAAATTTTTGTCCATAAGTCACAATTCTGGCTGCTAGCAGTGGTGGGACAAGGATTGGCCCAAGGGAGTCCTGATGGGGTCAATAAGGAATGAGTGACAGACTAGGACAAGCCACTGGCATGTCCACAGCAGTGAGGTAGCTCAGGTTTGGGATTCACCTTGTATTTTCTGGTAAGGGAATCTGGAGCCACCCTCAGCTCTACTTCCAGCTTGTAAGGCATGAAGAGATTCTCAGCTTCCAGATGATTCCTACTTCTGTCCATCCTGAGCGACAGGAAAGTTAGGTGTAAACAGTCTGGGGGAGGGTGGTGTTGACTCAGCCTGATCCCAATCGCCATCCCACCAGCAACACTACTTCACTTTCTGAATCAGCTGTGGTGCCTGAACTTTGGTTTATTGCCATTTGGATGGGCTGCACTTTACCTTTGTAGGATATAGATCTGGACAAGTTGAGACTGATAAGACAGAGGAAGGGAAAAAAGAAAAAAGGAAGCAGGAAGGACTAAAATTCAAATTATGAAAGCTTTTGGGAGTCAGTGCCCCAACCAGAAACCAAAAATAGGAAAGAATTTTCTGTCCCATCCAAGGCAGTACTGAAAGACCTCAGACCACAAATGTGGAGTGTTTCTGTTCCACCAGCCACGGAAAGTTCTGTCTTCACCTGGGGCAAGGCTAGGTTGGAGGCCCCTGAGCTGTGAGGGCTCATTTGTGCCAGACCTGCCCATCACGGCAGCCAAGGCTGTTGCAAAATCCCATCCCATTACCTTGAGGGTGCTCAGCTCCTCCATTACAGCTGAAATTGCTGCTAGAAGCTGTGGCAGAGCCCAGGGAGTGGGAAAGGAAAGGTGAATAGGTGGGCTAATGCCCCGACAGGTGAAACCCCAGGTGCGGACTGGATGGGGGAATGGGCCCCTGGCACTGGAGATGAGGATTTGCCACATGTGACATGTGTTTGCCCATCTCAGCAGGACAAGGAGAACCTTTGTGGGAGATGCTGTTGAGAGGGGTTGATTTGGACCCTCCTCTGAAGGCAGGGATGGATGTAAGGGCACAGAGCATCCCAAGCAGGGTCTAGTTCTGGGCTGGAGCAGCCCAGCCTCTGCCACCAGCCTCTTGCCTTGTGAAGGTCCCCAGATCCCACTGTGCCTGCAGGAACAGGCACCTCCAGGCCTCACTTGGTGCTTCCAACCAAATCAGGGCCCCAGCAACTTGTCTGGGCTTCAGTCCCTGTCCCAGGGCAGCTGAGCAGGCAGAGCCAGTGACTCCCCACTTCTTCCCGGGGGTTGGAAGCTTTTGTTCTGTTCCTCAGCAGATCCTCAGTGGCAGTGAGCACGTTGCAGTAACGCCCTTGGGAGCACTTGGGGACTGGGAACAAGGGCTGGGCTGTCCTGGGGAATTGCAGTTCAGGTGAATGGGAAATACCTGCAAACTGGTCCAGCTCAGCTACGCACCCTTCCCTCCCTTCTTAATTGCAATTCCTCCTAATTTATCTGGATTACCAGGAAGTAAAATGCCAGGACTTTTTTGGTTACCCCACTGGCATCGTGCATTTCAATTTTGGAGGCGGTACTGTCGCCAGCCCAGGAGAAAGGAAAACTCTCGCTGCCTTGGGAAAAGACAAACCCTCACCTATGTGCAGAGGTGGCAATGTCCATGTGGGAGCAGCTCTCCCTGGATCCCCTTCCTTTCTCTCTTAACACCTAAATATTTTAGGGATGGATGACAGCATATTTTTCCCTGAGCCAGACATATCAAACCCACTGCAAGCAGACAGAGATGCTGTTCACAGCCTCCCCACTCCCTGAAAATCCTTCTGCACTGCTGCATTCCTGACTATGGTCTTGTGGGCAGGTGGAGATCCAGAGCCAAACTGTGCTCTCAGGCCTCCTTGGATCTCGCCTCCTGCATCTCTCAGGTGTTGTACAGTGCCTGGCACCATTTCCAGTGGTGCAAGAACTCTCCTACAATGCAGTCAGATGAGCAGGGAGGGTTTCTGGAGGTACCACCCTTCCCTTCCCCTGGAATGGGAAACATGAGTACCTCCTGGGTAGGTAGATGGGTATTTCTCTGGGCACCTGCTGTGCCTTGGTCAAACAAGTGGTTCAGGAGGACGTGCTGGCAGAGCCAAGTGCTGCTGGATCTGTCAGCAGCCCATGGGAGCTGCCATGCCAGGCAGACACTGAGCTGCTGGTAAAGCTCTAGCAGAGTACAGGAGGTCATCCCTGTCACTCCAGCAAGTCTGTGGACTTTACTTGGCACTTCTGCTTGGGGGTCACTAGGCTAGGCTCGAGTACTTTCCAAGAGTGATTGTTTTATTGACAGTGACACCAAACTCACAGGCTAAAGGCCGTGCATTCCTGTCCACCCTGGAGGGAAGGGCAGCATTGCTGACTGCACTTGTCGAAAGGAGTCATGAGCCCTGATCAGCCCCGTTCAAGGACTAAAACATTGAGTCTTCTTCAAATACACAATCCTGCCCTAGCCCAGCACTTCAGAGAAACCATGGCATGGAAGGGAAAAAGCCAAGAGAATGACAGAAAGTGCTCCAAAGCAGCACCCCCGGATCAACCCTCTGGGAATAATACTCCAAGAGTCCCCCACGCACTCAGGACTTATTTCATATGGATGTTTCTCAAGCCCACACAAGCCAACACATTTGTTCTCCCTGTTTCACTCCTTTCTTTTTTGCCACAAGGACTGAAACCTCCCAAGTCCTACAGTGCATTAATGTCTCTTCTGAATTTTTCCTTTCCAGAATGATCCTGTGACCCTGTGAAAAGCATTTTGTTTTCCAGCACATTCCAAGCCATCTCATCCAGGGGCAGATGCCAACAAACTTCTGGCAGGTTTGGCCCTGCAACCATGCCCCAGCAGGGTCTCCTCTCAGGACCTACAGCCTGGTTGAGTGACCAGAGCAGAGCAAGCAGGCCAGGGTTCCTCCTGTACAGCCCTTCCCTAACTCTTCATGCCCTTGGATGAATCCAGGCAGGCAGCCATGACAATTTGTCACAGCCTGAAAAAATGGTGACTGCTGTGACATCACCACACACAGCATCTGCTCTGAAGTGTCCTTCACAGAATCATCAAGGTTGGAAGAGACCTTTGAGATCATATAGTCCTACCCTCAACCCATCACACCATCCTTGGGAGTTGGGTAGATGGAGACCCAGGAGCAACAGCCTGCAGGGCTATTTCGGGCTCAAGGCTGGACTTTGTCACTCTGACTGACGGTGAGTGGTTTGCAGTCAGCAAAGGTGGACACTGAAGGCACATTCTGTCTCTCCCTGCGATAGCTATCCTGTGGCTCAGAAGACATTTCCTCCTGGTGCTGAGAAGCATCCCGGCTGCCCTCCTCTCTCATGGTGTCTGTGCCCACCCTGACATGGGGGGTGATGACAGAGGGGCAGAAAGCCAAGGACTCAATACTTGTCTTGGCAAACTGCTCCATGGCCCCGCGTGAGCAGTGTGTGCACGTCACAGCCGTTCTCCAGCGTCACTCACAGCTGCTCCCTTCCCGGGACTTCACCAACAGCCAGCTCAACAGTGCTGGTGCCCAACTTTTCCTCAGGTGCCCAAAAACATCCCCTGTTCCTCTAAACTCTATGTTTATATGACAAACCCACCGTGCCCTGATGAGTACAGCAGAGTAGATCCTGCTCTAGACCACCTGGACAGCTGAGACACAGTTGGAAGAACATGAGCTCCTTCCCAAGGCTTCGGCTGCGGAAACCAGCAGCAGGAACAATGCAGACCTGACCACAGTGGATCTGAGCTGTAGCGTTGTCCCAAACACCACTTCAAGCCTTGGTTTTAAACATGGCCAACCAACGACCTTTGCCTCTCACAGACACCTTCCCACAGTGGATCCCAAGTCCCTCTTCCTAGTCCTGTTTTAAAGGGCTCCTTGGTTCAGCACTGCTGCCTGCTCTTTCTGTCTGGGAAGGACTAATTTTCCTTCTTAATCCACTGAAAAATCACAGAGCAAAATGGAGTCAGGAATGCGCTGTTGTCTGTGATATCTGTGGGCAAAACCATGCGTGGGTCCCTGCTGTATCAGCTGGGGGATGAGCCTCTGTCTGTCTCTTCTTTACTCAGAAAAAATACTTTTTTGGGGCACATGCCAGCCAAGTTCTGGCACTCCTGGATGAGCAACTACCAATGGATCTGATCCCTGCTTTTGGAGCAGCCCAGCAACACAAGTGTTAACTCCCTGTTGCCCTAATTACAGCAGGGCAATCACCGGATTTTACTACTGTGCCGTGTCACAGTTATTTCCAGTATTTGAAAATAATGTCAGTCACATCATTTGTCCCTGAGCCTTGTCCTCGGTGGAGTTTGCACCGGCATTTTCCAGGAAAATAAGAGAAAGGGGACGGAATGCTGTGACTAGTACGTAGATGAAATCTCATCAGGAGGCAGAGCTGTCACACGAGGGAACAGGGCAGCTCCGAGCTTCCCTCAGTGCTGAAATTGGACAACAAATCCTGCCAGGATGAGGGGTAGGGAGAGCTGGCCCACCAAGACCGTCAGCTCTTTGAGGGGCCCGGCAGGGAACGGCCTGAAATTCTACACACTTCCCCAAAAGAGGAAACCCCGAGGTTTGCAAACAAACAGCTGCTCAAAACTACGTCTCCAGACTTCATTAGGAACAGAAAAAATGCTTCGTTCTGTGCCAAATGAACATTTTGCTGCCAAGAAAGTGCCACCTACTGGATCTCACCCGGTGGGGAATCACCAGGACGGGAAAAAACCTCAGAAAACACAATGCTGGAAAAAGTAGGTTTTTTCATATTTTTTAACTAAAACAACAGAAAACGACACTGATAGTTCTCCCAGTCACAACCCCTCTCCAGCCATTCTCCCTCCACAGCAGAATCAGAGAGACTTTTGAAGTGGATAAAAGCTGGGGAGGGGGATGAAGTTTTAGGATTTGCAAAGAGAGACTCACCGGTGCTGAGAAGCCGCTCTCGTCTCACGCAGTTCGCTCAGCTCCCGTGAGTTCTCTCCCAGTTTTCCGTGCCTTCCTAGTTAAATCCTGCTGCCATTCTCCAGCAGTCAAGCTCCGTGTCCTCCCTGTACAGGCTGTGAGCCCGATGCCCCGAGCGCGGAAGGGGAGTGGGAGGCAGAGCCCACCCGGCACCCCGGCCTGGGGGTCCCCGTTGCGTGGCTCCCCGCTGCCCTTTCCTCCCGGTGCCGCTCGCCGCGGGTGTCTGAGAGCAGGTGACAGAGGTTCCTTGGCAGAGGAGAAAGGAGGGGAGGGATGTGGAGGCAGCGAGAGGTGGAGCTGGGACCCGGAGCAACAGGTTACTGTATAACCAGGAGCCGGTGGCCCCGGGAGCGCCGGGGGCTGCTGCAGCCTTCGCCCACTCCCCAGGCAAGGCGATCAAGAACCCAGGAGGGACGTGTTAAACTTCGGGTTTCTTGATCCCAAGAACATTTTGTACCCAATGGGAAGGTTGAAGGTGGCGAGGGGAGGTGAAGGAGTGCTTGGAGCTCAGTTTTCCATCGCCGGCGAGGGGGGGACGTGCTGCCCTTATGGGGGGAACAAGGCACCTTTTGTGCAGCCCAGGGCTCTCCTCAGCGCTGGCTCGCTGCTTGTTTTCCTCCAGCATCGCCCCTGCCTGCTCTCTGTCCCGATGTCTGCGGCAAGGAAAGGTGCTGGGAGACGGAGGGAAAAGGCAAAGCGTCCCTTCTCTCACATTCCCCAAAGCAATCAGGGGTGAGGAGCAGAGTCCCCTTAGGGGTACCCCCTCTGTGGCACTGTGCTCCTTGGGGTTATGTGGCCATAAAGTCCTCGTTTTGCCCCAGTTCTTCCATGAAAGACAGTAGGTTTAGATGGGATATTGGGAACAAATTCTTCCCTGTGGGGATGCTGCGGCTCTGGCACAGAGAATGGCTGCCCTATCCCTGGAATTGTTCAAAGCCAGGTTAGACAGGGCTTGGAACAACCTGGGATAGAGGAAGGTGTGCTTGGCAGAGAAGATATCAGCTGGGTCATATCCATGTCTCCATGGCAGGGTGGGATCATTCTGGTTGGCCATTCCTCTCCCAAAACTGAGGCTTTTGAGAGTGTTTTTTATGGATGTGCAGGTGTTTGCAGACTTCCCCACCATGCCCACGCTGTGTGTTGAACCCCTGCCATGTCCATGTGATGTGAGACCCCGTGTCGCTGGCCCTGGGAGGAAACAGCTGTAACTGCGACACTGGGGAAAGAAACAAGAGCTTCCCCCTCAAGACAGCGGTCTGGGAGAAGCCCAAACTCCTTAGCTTGACATTTGCTGAGTTTCCCGCTGCTGTGGGTTTCTTTGAGGGGCTTATGCCCAGCGCAGCGCCTGGCCCGGGTCCAAGCGCCGCACGGAGGAGCCGCCCCGGTGAGTTCCTGTGGGAGGAATGCGGCCGGGTGAGCCGGGCGGGCACGGGGAGAGCAGCTCCCTGCCTGACAGCCGGCATTTCGGCAGCTCGGGTTTGACACGACCTCTCCTGCTGCGGGAGAGCACGAACCGATACTCGGTGTGACACTCCCACCCAGCGCCTCGTCATCCTCCTCGCCAGGATCCCAGGGATAGATTGTGAAAACACGGCCAGGCCTAGGAAAGGCAGGATTTAGGGAATGCATGCCGTACCAGGCAGGAGAAGGGATATCGGTCCAACACAAGAGAAATGCAGTGGGAATGTCAGCTGTGCTGGAGCCTGGTGAGCCTCAGCAGCCAGAAGGTTTTGTGCAGGAGATTCCTATTCCCTGAAATGCATCACTGGGGTGTTTCAGGAGGACTGCTGGGCTGGGCTGACTTTCCTGGGATGCAAACAGGATGGTGTTTTAAGGGACTGGTTCCTATCTAGCTCCACATTCACAATGAGGACAGGGCTACTGTGAGCTGCTGTGCCCCACAGCAAATCTCTTAACTGCTCTGCAGAGGCAGCAACTTTTCCTCTGGGCAGGGAAGAAAACCACAGCAGAGCTTATTACACCTTCCCAGCCATCCCACCTGACAGCTGATGCCGGTGGGGGTGGGCCAGAGGCAACTGGAGAATCATGGAATGGTTTGGCAGGAGGGAATCACCCTGTGGTATGGTGGTGGTTCCTGGCATGGCTCCCCAGTGTGGAATCAACTGAGTGCATGTCCCCAGCCTCCCTCCCTCACTGGAGCACCAGGCCACTCCAGAGGGACATCATAAAGTCATGGACCCATAACACCCTATCTCCCAGTATCTCCAATTTGGAAATCCCGGGAGGCTGACTTGCCTCTCGGGATCAGCCTTTTAAATCAGGTTGGCGGCAGACACCCCTGTGATGGCTCGAGAACAAAGACTTGTCGAGTAAACACCACCCAAACCCAGCTCCTCAAAATATGTGTTCCTCTAAATTTTTAATGCTGTTTGCTTCCAACTTGCTTGTCCTGTTTCAGAAGGGCTGGGCCTCGTAATTAAAAGCTCCAGCGATTGTATGTCTGGCAAATGTCATCAATGGCTTCACTATGTGTGCCCTGCTTCTCCAAGCCGTGGGATTGGTTTGGAAAGGTTAGGGAAACTTGATTCACTTTGAGTCTTTTTACCACCTCAGCATCGAGAGATGCCACCATGGAATCAGGGACACCAAAACAATGACAATCCCACTGAAAGCCTGGAAATAATTGGGATGAAGGAGTTGTCTGAAGCTTCCAGGTTTCATCCTTCATCATGGAGCACAGGGCTGTCAGCAGCAGCAGGACCTCACGAAAGAGTCCATGGACAATTTTATCTGGAATTGGAAAACTGAAACCAGAGCTGTCCTGCCCTTGTGAGAATGCAAGTCCAGGTTGGTGCCAGCTGACCCCGGCAGGCTCTGACAGCCAGCCATGGCTCTGAGCAGTTGCAGCCATCAGGTCCTGCCCTGAAATGAGCCAAAAAAATCGTGTTTGTTATCCTGTGTGCATATTTACCCCATGCCTCACTATCACCAAGTACTGGCACTCTCTGCTGATCCTTGTTTTTCACCTGGGTGATGGGAAGGGCGCAAAGGGTTCACCATGTTTTATAATTCATATTTTGTGTTTATTTTGTTTGTGGTGATCACTCAAGAAGGTGAAGCACACGGGTTGTGACTTAACATTAACCTGTGTGACCCTGTTTGCTGTATCACCTGCATTTAGGTAAAAATTCCACGTTGCAATATTTCCTTTAGAACCTGTCAGTTGTTCTGTGGGCAGCCCTTCGTGTAAGGCAGGTGCAAACACCAGGAAAAGTTTGTGCTTTTTTTGGTGCCCATCCAGGAAGAGTTTTGCTTGTGTCCTTTGATCATTAATGGGGCAGGGACAGCTCGGTATGTTGGTCACTCCTTGGAACAAGCATGTGATGGCACATTCCATCATGCCAAGCAAATCTGGGAGGACAAATAGGTGGGGGCTCCATTCAGGCAGATTAAGCACAAAAACATTTGGTCATTCCATTTCCTGGGTGCTCCTTAGCCCCAGTTCTGCTGCTGTGATGTTTCTGTGGGAGCAGCAAGGATGAACCTACAGCTGTGCCCTGGCTTAGCAGGACCTGTCCAAGGGGATTTGTGCCAGTGGGTACTCTGATTGTGACTGTCAGGTGGTGTAATGTGGACAGAACTTGCTGTTAGCTGGCCTGGGAGCAGAAAGGTTAGGGTTGGATGGGACTTAAAACCTCATCTCCTTCTATCCCCCTGCCAAGGGCAGGGACACCTTCACTAGACCATGTTGCTGCAAGTCCCATTCAACCTGGCCTTGGGCACTTTCAGGGATCCAGGGGCAGCCACAGCTTCTCTGGGCAACCTGTGCCAGGGCCTCAGCCCCTCTGAGTCACAAATTTCTTGCTAGTATCTCATCCAAACCAATCCTCTTTTGGCTTGACACCACTCACCCTTGTCTTGTCACTACATGCCCTTGTGAAAGGTCCCTCTCCTTCTTGTAAGCCCCCTTTAGGTACTGGAATCCTTAAGGTTGGAAAAGCTTTCTGTGATGATCAAGTTCAACCACTGAACGACTGAGGGATGAAACTGGGCCCTTCCACAGAACTTCTGTGTATTTTGTCCCTTTCTACCCCCACCAGAAAGCAAAAACCATCAGGGCTGAGGTGCCCCAGGCCTGCACCCTACAATTTTCAGCCCTTGGTGATTGCAAATTAGTTCAGACCTTCACAGGGCAGGAGAAGGGGCTACAGACAGCAGCAGGATCAGGATCAGAAGAGGCTTCCACACACATCCAGGCTTGCCCAAGTCTTCCTTTGGATGACTTAGCTGGAGCCCAAGATCTGAACAAGATGCTCTGCATTTCAAACACTCCTTAGATCTAAACCTTTATTTATTTGAATGAATAAATAAATACAAAAATAGGAAATTCTGAATAGAAAATAGGCTTCTTCAAAAAACCAGGAACTCCCAAAGCTTTCCATTAACATATATTTTTGAGACAGTAAAAAATTCTGCACTTGCACCACTTAGAAGTTAAGACAGACTTGAATATAGTAATTTTTGCAAAATAGTAGAAATAAGAACATTTAACACTGAATAGAAATAAAACTGCCAACATTCTGTTGGACTTTTAAACAGAACAGAAGGGAGGACAAATGGTGAATGGTTTTGTTCATTTTAAAGCCATCCTGTCTAACCAAACTTCCCCTCACGTAGTAAGAACTGGCTGCCAAACCTTGCGGCTTGGCTCTCCAGGTATGCACAAAACCCAGTTCCTCTCCCCCACTGGGATACATCAGGTTCTGCCCTACTAAAGTCAGGGAAATTACCACTGAGGTCTGGAAACACAAATGAGAGCAGCAGAGCAGCTGTGCCCTCAAACACGGACGTGTGCGTGGCAAGGCACAAGTGAGCCCTGGCCTCATTCATTTCTGTGTCACTTGGGCTGCATGTCGCTCCTGTGCCATGAAAACTGCCACCATGCCAGCAGCACTGCCTCCTATCCTGTGTTGGGAATGGATATTCAGTACTGACCCCTGGTGAATGCCAGAGTGTTAAGTGTTTTGTGATTCATCCCTTGCCTTTGCCCATAAATAACGCAATGGTGGACAGCATCACACAGCTCCTGGGCGGGACATCTATGTCCCCAGAACTTCTCATTTAAACAGAGAGAAGCTTTACAGGGTTTTTCTATACACAGGGATTCAGCAGTGGAAATGAAGCCCCACTCTCAGAGAAGGAATGCGTGGCAGGCGTGTGGGAAGGGCCGGGCTCAGCTGACAAAGGCAGCGATGGCCGTGACCTTGAGCCCCGACTCGAGCGCGTAGGCCGAGAGCAGCGCGGCGTTGAGGAGCACATCCGCCCACAGCACGTAGGTCTGCCACAGCAGCAGGTACACACACAGCAGCACGCTGCCCACCGTGAGCCCCAGGCTCACCCCCAGCGGCGCCTCTGCTTCTGTCAGGTTACCCTTGAAACCTGAAAGGAAACGGAAACCAAAAGTCCAATTTGTTCTGACAACAGCTCAAGCTGTAAGTCGAGAATATTCCTGCTTAAAAAATGCCCTGGTTCTGACTTTGCTCTTACTGAGTCCTAAAAAAAGCTCAAAATAGATTGAAATACCAGCCTGAATCAAAGCTCTGCCGGCAATCAAACAACAAGCCCAACACCAATGGACAATCCATTTCAAAACAGGAAAAATAACCAAACTTAATCTATGTAAGTTCATCAGTTGATAATCACAGCCAGGGCACCTCTTCTCATCACAGAGAATCACTTCTGAAGTTGCATCCCTCTGAGCACTCAGCTTCAACCATCAAACTCTTCCTGAGCCCCCCAGCCCCACACTCAACCTCAGTGACCTCGGCACACTCCTGGAGTCCAATCCTCATTTTCAAGTTTTATTCCCTTCTAATCTATTCCTGTTTCAGAGGACTGGCACCTTCTCTCTTCCTTGCAGCTTATTTCCAAGCTCAGCTCAGTAGATTTTGGTTTTTAACTACATTAGAGTTGAAATCCACCTCTTTATTCATGGATCTCATGGATCAGGCTCCAAGCAAATACACAGAGAGCTTTAAAGCAGCAGAATAAATCCAACCCCAAAGCCACTCAGATTGATTCAAGGGCCCCACTCCACATAAATGTCTTGGGAATACTGAGCAGATTTTAATAGTGATTTGGGTTTTTTAAAAATTGGACTTGAAGAAGTTTTAGCAAGCTCTGGACAAGGTCAGGAGGCCCTTCTGCCTTAGTGAAAAGAAGGTGTTGGTGCTTGCAGGTGTCCTCAGGAGTGAAAGGAAAGGTGTAGGGGTCTCCAAATATCTGCTCAACTGACAGAAATTATTCATGTTTACAGATTACATTCCAGCTGCACTGATAACATGACCTACCCAAGTACAATCGAGGCACTTCCAGAATGGCCATAAGGAAAAGCACAGCAAGATCAGGAGCCAAAAAATCATCTGGATAACTGAAAACTTGACCTGGAGAATAAACCAGATATAAATAAAGCAGGAAGACACAGCAGGACAAAACCCAGCTGTGCATCAGCACAGCCTGCTCTGGGGACAATACCTGCAACTTACTTTTGTAAATAATCATTGCAAGAGTTGCCAAGAAGTAGAAGATGTAATAAACCCCATTTACATAGAGCAGGATCTGTAAGGGAAGCGATGACAGCTGAGAACTGTTGTTAAGGATTTCTCAATGAGGTGGGATCTATTCCATAAAATCACCATTTCCCAGTAACCCCAAAATACACTGCACTCCCTCTTTATACTGAATGGTCCAGCTACGCCTGGCTGTAGGGAGGGTTCAGGAAGGAACTTGAGGCTGTGAACACCACGGCCTGGGATAAAAGCTTGCTGTTTCAGGTTTGGCTTTAGTTCCCTTTTTAAGGAATTTTATTTGGACTGTAGTGGGGCATCCGTTAGCTGAGGAAGTGGAGGGGATGCATGTGTACATTGCCCCAGACTACTTCTACACTTCTTAGTCAGCCTTAAGGAAGCTGACAGAGAGTTGGCAAACTCCATCAGACTTGTGTTTGGAGAAGAGGTGGCTCTGTGCAGCAGCCAGGCCTTGCTCCTGCCCACAGCATGGAAATGCTTTGCTCTATACTCTATACCTGTCTGAGCTCAGCTTTGAGATGCAAATTCCTAAGAAACAGCCTTAATTCACTCCCCTCTCTCCCCCAGCCTTTTTCAAATCCTACAAGTATCTCCAAGCAGATATTTCATCCCAGGCATCTCTTACAGGAACTGCCCATCCCGCTTCTAAACCCACCCACGCACCGTGGATGGATTCCAGTTCCCAGAGCAGCTCATTTTATTAACATAGAACCAGGTTTTGGGGTTTTTCCAGTTGAAGGAAGGTGGAGCAAAAAATTACTAGATAGGTTCTAAGCATGGAAATCTCCAGAGCCAAGGGTGTCTCCTCCTTGGAGGTTACTTGGATCTTGGCAGGAGTAAAGGTGGGGTAACTTACTGTAAGAGGAGGAAGTTACTACTGAGGGCTGCTTTTACTACCCCTTGTCAGCTGTGTCAGCTGTCTGTGAGCTGTGATGCAGGGGGTGTGTCCACCAGTCCATAAATGCTATTTTTAATCTCCTTTCCTAAGAAAATGGGTTAAATCATGACTGCAGGGGGGCTAAAGGGGTTTCTGCAGGAGTAGGAGCCCATAAGGAGCAAATCCCAGCTAAACCTGCACCAAACATCTTCCACTGCAAGCAACGTGGTCCCAGTTGTGCTTCCTGCGGATGACACTGACAGAAAATTCAGGAGCACAGACCCAGCACTGTGCAGAGTTACTGGACAGAAGATAGGAATCCACTTGAGGCAGTCTTCTCCAGGAGTCTTGCATGGAAGGAGCAGTGGTACAGAAAGGATACAATCTCTGATGTTCTTCCTTTCCATGGAGAAGGAGAAAATAAAGAGAAGAAAATATGTATAAATCCAGAAACATTCTAACAATGATATCGAAATTCTGGGAGAAATTTCTTTTTTCATCTCCCAGGAACATTTATTGTTTTCCAGATAGTGGACTTCAGGTTCCAAAAATAACCTTTTCAACTAGATGAAGCATCAAATAATTTGGGGAAAATCCCTACTGGGAAAAGCCACTTTCAATGAGGAACTTCAGGCTCTTTCAAAGCCTGAAGGAGTGCACAGGCATTATCCAGAACTTGTTCATCCTGTCCTTTCCTAGCAGATGACACTTCATCCCCTCTAACTATGCAGGAAGGAGGTGAATATGGGATCCATTTGCTTGTAAATTGTGAGAAAGTTTGTGGAGAACAGAGGGCTCCAGGGTTTCTCTAAATACCATCCCTCCAAATGCCATCCCTCCAAACCAGTTCCCTTCACAAAGTCATTCCACATCCAACCTCAGTGTGTTCTGACAGCCCACAGAAATCAAGCCAAGTATTTCCAATGATCCAACCAACACATTTCCTTTTTTTCCCTTATTTTCTGCAAAAATCACATAAAATTCTCCTGCAACATGAGGGCACCAACCTACTAAAGCACCTGTTGAGTTCCTCATTAATATTCTTGGCCTCTCTGGGACACATGAGGAATTGTACAGTTGGGATTTCTGTTCCAGGGAGAGTGAAAGGCCATTTCCTCTGTCTCCTCAGGGACAGCTTGTCATTGTCACAGCGCCATCTTATCCCTGGATTCCTGAGCTCAACGTCCTCTTCACCTCAGAGTTTATGCATTTAGGCCCAAATTAATTCCCCCTAACTCCAGGCAGCTAATTAAGGTGTCCAGTTTGGGAACAGGCGCATGATTTTAGGTGATTCATGTGTCCCTGATCTGAAATGTCTCCTGGACCTGATCCTCTCCTCTCAGCTCTCTGTACAGGGACTGGGGGCTCCCAGCACTCCTCCTGTCACTTAGGAGTGACAGCACAAGGGGGAATTGCTTTGATATTGGGAAGAAATTCTTCCCTGTGAGGGTGCTGAGGCCCTGGCGCAGGGTGCCCAGGGAAGCTGTGGCTGCCCCATCCCTGGCAGAGTAGGCTGGATGGGGCTTGGAGCAGCCTGGGATAGTGGAAGGTGTCCCTGCCCAGGGCAGGGGGTGGATGAGCTTCAAGGTCTCTTCCAACCCAAACCATTCCAGGATTCCATGATTCCATGTTCATTCAATATCCAAAACTGCAGCTACACCACTGATGCTGAATTGTATGATAGTCAGAGCCACGGAATTCCCACAGGGATGTCTGAGTGAATTCCCTCAGGGCAGTTCCCCAGCTTTATATCTGGACTCTTCTTTCCTTAATGCTCTCCTAGGAGAGGGCAGTGAGCCTCCTGCAGCTGCTCCAGGCAGCCACGGTTCCTGAGGATGTGCTGCCTCCCTCAGAGCGAGCGGGACATTTCACAGGGACAACCCTGGAACCCCAGAGCACACCAAGAGGGAGTATTAAACCGCCTGAATATATCATTTCAGTGCTTTACCCAACAAAATCTTGGTTATCTATCCAGGCTGGTGCTGATTTTAGAGTGAGTGACACTGAGAATGGGGATGTGAGGTGGAACATGCCCCATTTTCTACCAAAATGGTTTCATTTTTAACATAAAACTTTATTAAATGCAGCAAATGTGGTTAGCATCGGCCAGAGCACCTCACTGCACACGTTTGGGATTAGGATTTTTTTCTGTTCGAATTCGACAAAATTCGACAAAAATTTTCTCAGCCACCTTCGTCTGCCTAGCCAGGGCAGAAATTTACCGTTTTGGAAGAAAACTTTGGCCTCTGTGAGAGTTGAAAATCAGTGATTTTAACCACACTAAGGATGACATTTTTCTCCTCTGAATCTTCAGTTCCTAAACTGAAGCAAAGATCTGGATTTTCGCGAGGCGTCTCCGGCCTCAGGAAAGCGTCTTTCCTGGGCCCAAGGTGCTCCTCAGCCCGCACATGCGCCAAGGCCCTGCTCACGGCGCCACCGGCATCTCCTCCGCGTGTCGCGATTGTCGCGACATGCCAACGGGGCTGCGCTCCACCTCGGCCCCGCCTCGCCTCGCACTAGTCGCGTCCCCCCGCGAGAGGTCACCTCTGGCACGGTGCGAGACAGCCGCCCCGGTGCCCCGGAAAGGGCTGTCGTGCCGCCGCCGTGTTGCTATCGCGACACGCCTCACCTCGGCTCGGTACCGCCATCTTGACGCCCCCGCCCCGCCCGCCGGTCCTCCGCCGTCCCGGCAGCCCGCGCGCGGCCACTCGCCCCGCCCACCCGCCTTCGGGCGCGATCGGAGCGTTCGGCCCGGTTCGGTCGCTTTCGGGCGGATTCGGGCGCTGCCCGTTCGGGCGTCTCCGTTCGGGCCGGCGAGCGGAGCTCGGGCGCGATCGGAGACGACTCGGCACACATCGGCGCTCCTCGCTACCGCCTTCGGCTGAGATCGGACACGGCTCGAGCGCGCTCGGGACTCTTCGCCTCGCCGGGCCGCAGCGCTCGGGGACTCGGCCGCGTTCGGGCGGGCTCGGGTCTCACCCGATCCGTCAGGTACCGCTTCGGGCCGCGCCCCGCGGACTCGGCCGCGCCCCATTGGCCAGCCGGCAGGGAGCGCGCGCGCCGGCCGCCTTCGCACGGGGCCCGAGCGGCTCGGGCCGCTTCGGGCCTCATCGGAACTCGGTCGAAAGGCCCCGAACACGCTCGTCAGCGGTCGGGCAAGCTCGGCGGCGCTCGGCTCGCCGGTCCCCCCTGCCCGCCGGACCCCCCTCAGGCGCGCCCGGGGGGGGGCGGGGCGGGCTCGGCTACCCCCGGCCCCGCGCATGGAGCACAGCGACGGCGAGCCGGCCGCCAGACAGCTCGACTTGCCCGCGGGACCGGGGCAGCAGCGGGAGCCGCCGCAGGCAGCGGAGGGGGAGGCGGAGCCCGAGGAGGAGGAGGAGGCGGTAACGGTGATGGCGGCAGGCGCCGAGCACATCGAGATGGGAGCACCGCCAATGCCAAGCGCCGACGAGGCCGCCGCCGCCGCTGCCTTCGCAGGTCAGGGCGGGCAGCGCTCCCTCAGCCCGCCCGGGGCTCCCCCAGCCCGGGCCTCGGCCCCCACACAGCCCCCGGGGCTCGGGCCGGGACAGCGAGCTCCCTCAGGGAGCGCTGCCACCCCCTCAGCGGATCCCACACTCCGCCCCTTCACGCTCAGTAGAGAGCGGGAGGCGCCCGGTGCGCCTGAGCCGCGGCCCCGTGTCCCCAGAGCCGAGCGGCCGAGTCACGCAGCAGGGTCGTGCGGCCGAGCTGCGGTGCTCAGAGGCCAGAGCCCCTCGCCCGCCCCAGCGGCTGTTCTTTCGCCCTCATCCCACAAGGAAACCCGGAGATTTGAGCCGGGCTAAGCGCTGAACACAGAAACGCTGGGTTTTACATTTTGGCAGCTCTTAACTGGACGAAGTGCACAGGTCATGGCACCATGGGAATTAATACATTACAGAGGCAGAGTCTGTTGTTCAGTTTATCCTGATGTCTGCCAGTCACCCCTATCTAAATAAAAGCACCACAGTTTGGAGTATCCCTAGTGCAGGTGCCATACTTATTTTTCCCTTAGTTCATCACATGCTAATAGCAGCTGCCCTGGTTTCAAGGAGGTTAAAGCCTGTTGAACCCAAAGATTAATAGAAATCAGAATGATTGTGTTCATAACAACTTACAGGTGCCATGAAAAATAATATTAATTTAGAGCAGGAAGGAAGAAGGAAATTTTCAGCTGTTCATCAGGCTCTCTGCATGCAGCAGAAATTTAAATTATCCCTGTTTTACATTCCAGAAGTCACCACAGTGACAGTAGCCAACGTGGGGGCCTCTGCAGACAATGTTTTCACCACATCTGTGGCCAATGCAGCCTCAATTTCAGGACATGTGTTGGTAAGTCTGTCCTTTCATTTGAGGGCCTTGACAAAGTTTCTCAGTGTAAATTAAATCTGTAGTAAGGTCAAAGACTTGTTTTCATTGTGATATCCTGGCATTAAGCCACCAACCCATTAGCTGGGGGTTTTATTACTAGCTTTTTTACCTCTCCACCCCCACATACTCATCTGGAAACAGAAACTGGTGGCCTGGAACATGAAATCTTTGAATTTGCTTGTCTGAAAACTCAAAAATTAACCTAATAGCTGCCATACTGATTGGAGTTGTGGGGTGCCTGTGTATTACTGAAATCTATTTGTGTTGAAGTACTTTAATAAATTTAAACTCTTTATTTCTTCTGCAGTCTGGGAGAACAGCCCTCCAGATTGGGGACAGCTTGAACCCTGAGAAAGCCACTCTGATAGTGGTGCACACGGATGGCAGCATCGTCGAAACCACCGGGATCAAGGGGCCTTCGGCACCTCTCACACCAGGTATTAGACAGTCTGCTTGTGGTGGGTCACTCTCCCAGAGGGATGGCTTCTTCTCCACTCTACTTGTCTTTCTGGAATCTAAAAACATGTGCATAATTTTACTAGGATGGTTTGCCCTCTTTTAAAACCATAAAGTTGTTCCGGTTGGAAACGACCTTTAAGATACCAAGTCCTCCCAGTATTTCTTGGGAATGAAAGAATGCTTATTATTTTTTTTTTAATTTCGTGGGGTTTTTTTAATTTTGGTTTAATTTTCTCATTCTTTGCCCTAACCCTGGCAAAAGAAGCTGCTTGAAAAATCTTGCCCTGTTTCTGGGCTTTCTGCACCCATCCCCACCCCCAAGGGCACACAGATCATTTTAACATGGTTAATAAAAATCCGAGTCTCCCAGTTGTGCACATGTTCTTTCCAGGACTCCTGGAACACATTTTCATGTCCATTCAGGCTGATACTTTAGTCTCTCTGTCACTGAGGTTTTGTTCAGGGCTGCCTGGCAGTCTCCTTGCTGCCCACGAGATGGCACAGCAAACCTTCAGTGCTCTAAAGCTTCCCACAGGATGGGCTCTGGGAAGGGGAATCTCCAGCCAGCTCCTTACACCATAGTTTACAGGTGGTGTAAGGATCAGGTCACAATCTCAGTGTTTATTCCCTGTTAGAGCCTGTTTCCTCCGGTCCTCTTTTCTTATCAGCCCTTCTCAGTTCATTCAGGCTGAGTTTTTTGTGCTGCTTCATTGTGGGTGCATTCCAGCTGCTCCAGTCAACCTCTTGGCATATCACCCAGCCGAGCATGGGATGGAACACCACTCTGCCTTTTGGTTGCTGACACCTTTCTTTTCTCTTTTCTCCAAGGACCACAGTCTCCTCCTACCCCTTTGACAGCTGTCCAGGGGAAAAGTGGAACCAAGTACAACTGGGACCCGTCCGTGTACGAGAACGAGCTCCCGGTGCGGTGCCGGAATATCAGTGGCATTCTGTACAAGAACAGGCTGGGCTCAGGTAACTGCCACCCGGGCTGAGGGCTGGCACAGCTCCTCCTCCTCCTTCTCTACTCTTCTTTTAATCAGGCTGTTCTTAAGGGCTGATTGTGACAGGAGAAAAAAAACAAGAGTTTCCAAGACAGCCCAGTGCCTTTTAATTTTACTGTCCCCTTTTGTTTTGCTTTTTCTTCGGAGGCTTTTTAACTTTTTCTTAATTCTGCGAATATCCAGGCTGCCATGCAGTGAGTCTCCTCAGTAACAGGCTGACTCCTTTAATGATTTTTTTGTCTCATGAGTAGACTTGTGTTTTTGCAAAACTCTGAAGAATCCCTGCTGGAATGCAAATGGTTTTTTCTCTTCTTGGGGCTCCTGAGCTCTTCCTCGCGGCTTTTATCCCTGTGGGGAAGCTGGGGAAGCTGCAGCAAAAATTGCCGGCCAGCCTGGCTGCCCAGTGCAGTGCTTGCTTTGTGGACAGAAAGTTTTCTTCTAAACCCACCACAAACTCAAAAAAGATCAGAAATTTAAGTGCAAATCAAGGAAAGACTTAAATTTGTGGTGTTTGTCCAATAAAGACTTTTCTTTCTTGCGGAGGAGTAATTTTTGTAGCCTTTTGAAATCCAGAGTTGGAGCTCTGAACATGCCCATTGTCACAGCCATGATAATAAATGGACACAGTTACTTGAGAGCAATGGGCATATTTAGTGGTTCTTACAGATTAACTGCTACTTTGTCCAGCAATTTCCACGTTTTCTTCTTTAGAGAAGTGGCAAAATTATCCTTAACTTGGACTAACAGTGTATTTTGTTGCTTCACTTCAGGAGGCCGTGGCAGGTGCATTAAGCAAGGGGACAATTGGTACAGCCCCACGGAGTTCGAAGCCATGGCGGGGCGAGCCAGCAGCAAGGACTGGAAGAGGAGCATCCGCTACGCCGGGCGGCCCCTGCAGTGCCTTATCCACGTAAGGTTAAGTTTGCTCCCTCCTTTCTGCAGGAAGGGGCAGCTGGAGCCAGGTGCTGATGGCACCAGGAGCAGTGCTTGGTTTGGTTGAGGGTCAGTGATGCAGGGGAATTGTTTTTGATATGTCTCAAATAGCACACTGGGGATCTTGTTTATGCTGGAAAGAGTTTCTGCAGGGTGAAGCCCAGCCTTGAGCTGTGCCACAGGAATTGAGCTCTCACCTGTGATACTGTAATTCAGTAACCTGATCTCCTTCAATGTCTTTGCCTGCCACACGTCCGAAATTTTCACCACATTCATTATTTGGGTCCTTTATTTGAGTCTCTTGGAGAACTTGGCATTGCCACTAGGCTGACAGTTGATTTCTGGTTGTGCAGAAATCAAGTCTCAAATTCATATATCCTGGCCTTTGGGTGTGGAAAATACTTGGTTTTCCTTTTCTCTCCTCTGACCCTCTCACCCCATTGCCCTGCTGTGGGGAACTGGCCTCTCTGTTACTGTACAGCATCCAGGAGGGAATGGGTACTGCTCTGGGAGCCATCCACATTTTTTAGCAGGATCAAGGTGTGCTCTGTGTGATTTTGGTGACTCTCATGCTGAACTGGTCACTTCTGATTCCAGGATGGGATTTTAAATCCCCATGCTGCCTCGTGTACTTGTGCCGCTTGCTGTGACGACATGACACTGGTGAGTGGGAGGCTTTACATCCATTACTTTAGGAATTAATTATTTCTGTTGGACAAATTAACCGGTCAAGCTGTCACAGCCCTTGGGTGCAGGTCATGAGTGTACTGGGAATTGAGTGTCCTGACACATGAGTGTTCAGGGACAAGTGCTTTGTCCCTGCCCTGTGGAGAAAGGAGATGAGGAATTGCTGGCATTATTGCAGAACAGCCTCAGTAAAACTAGATCATACTTAGTGCTTTTTTTCTTCTTTTTTAAAAATAATTTTCTAATTACTATGTCTTTGCAAAGTACCTTTTGCAGATGTCAGTGTTATTCATGAACTTGACTCAAATTTCACAATGTTTTGAGTTGGAAAAATATTTTTGTAAAGAAGTAACAATAATCTTATGATAGATTAATATTTCATTTCATTTTTAAACTATTTGGGGTTTTTTTTTGTTAGTTGATTGGGTGTTTGATTTTTTTGCTAGTTTGTTTCAAAATTGAGGTTTAAATCCTGAAGCAGAAGACTTTAGCTTGACCTGGTGCTTTGCCTTTCTTTTCTGCTATGAACTGACTGATATGCTTGTTTTCTAGCCTGGAACTTCTTCCTCTCTTCTCCTCCCTCTTTTTCTCTTTTATTCCACCACCTTGGCCAGCAGCTGATTGTCTGCCCAGTTCTACTCCTTAAATAATAATGGGAAGATGTTGAATTTGTGCCTCTTCAGCTGGAGGGAGCTGAGTTTAACTTTTCTCTTTTTTTCAAAGTTCTTTTTGTTTGGAAAACTTCTAAGCGCTTTGGTCTAGTGTTGCAAACCACACATCATCCATGGGGGTCTGTGCTGCTGTTTCTGGAAAGATGAGAGTAAAACCAAAGTCTCCAAAGAGTTTGATCAGCTAATGCTTTTTTTTTTCTTTTTTTTTTTTCCCTTTTTTCTTTTCATTTTCCTTCTGGTGTTTTTCTACCCAGAGTGGCCCTATACGACTCTTTGTGCCATATAAAAGGCGAAAAAAAGAAAATGAAATACCAGCAACTCCAGTGAAAAAGAATTGTTCCAAAAACATCACTCTGCTTCCAGCCACTGCTGCAACTACGTGTAGGTTCTTTTCTCCTGGTAAAAATTGCTTCCTTTCCTTGGAGAGTTGACCTGCTAGGTGTTTTATGTGTGTTAGTGGCCCCTTGGAACTGTCCAACTGAGAAAAATGTCCTATTTTTTGGTCACATTCTTTTCATTGGATGATTTTACTGTCTCAGTGTCACTTCCTATTTTATAGGAAGTAGCACAGTGTTGCCACATATGAACACAAGTTGAATAGGAAAAAGTGCAGCTCTAGACCTCCAGGAGACTCAGGTTTAAGCATCATGACATTCTTATGCCATGAACACTAGGTTTCATATTTTGTGCTGAGAGAGGTTTGGATTATGTCCTATGCCTGGAAGTGTTCAAGGCCAGGTTGGACGGGGCTTGGAGCAGCCTGGTTTACTAGAAGGTGCCCCTGCCCGTGGAAGGAGATGACCTTAAGGTGCCTTCCAAGCCCCCAAGCATTTCAGGATTCTGTGGTTATAGTCTATGATTATATTGCCCCCTGTACCTGCTCGCAGTGGGGAGAGAATTATGGGATCCTGGCCTGGATCCATAGCGGATTTCAGGTAGATTTTTCACAAATGACAGCTGAGAAAGTTCCTGTTGGAATTAGGTTTTGGGAGAGGTTGGCCCTTCTCTGCTCTGCCAGAAATCCCCATTCCATCCTCTGAGCTTCTTTGTGTCCCTTAAAAACTGGAGTAAGATTTGTGCTATTCCTTGCAAAATAGCCTAGAAGCAGCTGGGATGAAACCCCAAGCCTAAAAGTCGTTAATGAAGGAGGCAGAAGGTGATGCTTTGATCTGCACATCCCTCTCCAACATTCAGCTTTGTTAGTTACTGGTTTGATTGGCAAATTATCTGTGTGGGAACAGGAATTAATTTGCAAGCTGATCCAGCTCACACATCCCCAGTCACATCCATATGTCCTCCTGCTCTCGGCACGCTGGCATCATCTGCAGGTAACAATACAAAGTGAGTCGAGGAGGAAGCAACAGAAATCTAAAAAAAGGACCAAAAAGTAAGATTAGGTCATCAGCAATAGTAGGAAGAGAAAGACACAAGGATTCTGCAGAGTTGTTTTATGGCTTTGTTTTTTTTCAGTTCTGAAATAGGTTTAATCTGTATTGGTTTGTTATGTGAGGTGCTGTGAGGCTGCTCGTTCTCTCATGCTGGCACTGGAAGAGAGAACTACTTGTTTTGGTGGCCAAGTACTTCAGCCTGGAATTTGTAGCTACAGTATTTTAAAATTTAATTATTGTGTGCCACAGAATCAGACCATCACCAATTAATGGTATCAGTTAAATAATCCTCTTTAAAGTGGGTTTTAAACAAACATTCGGAAGCCACTCAGGTATAATTATCCAGTAGGATTTTGTGCCTTGTTCCTTGCATTGGCTGAGCACATTCTGTCACTTTGTGTAGATAAACAGCTAAATTTGCCCAGCTGCCATGGAATTAGCTGTAATCCACAAGTTGTTAAGTTGATTTAAGTAACAACAATCACTCTTGCTAAAATTGTCATAAAGCAGCCAGAAATTGATGGGCTATGTGGCCTCACTGAATCTTTATGGGGAGTGTTAATGGTGTTATGGTTCATAAAAGAACTGAAAAGGTGGTGATTTGGGAGGTATTAGGTTGTAAATTAACGTTTTAGCCTCGTGCCCCCAGAGCCTTGGAAGGACAGCAGAGCCTTCAGAAACCTATTGGGGCTTTTATTCCCATTTCCAACCGCGCTGGTCACAGGTGTGATCCAAACTGGGTTATCCCAGCCTGGTGATCTGTGAGTCCCCTGAGCTTGGATGGTGCAGCACAGGGATAGCAACAAACATCTGGGCAGGCATGTCCTCTGCGCTGAGTGTTAATTATGAAAGTGCTTTAATGTTTCCAGTCACCGTGACTCCCTCTGGACAGATCACAACCTCCGGGGCGCTGACCTTCGACCGCGCATCCACCGTGGAGGCCACGGCCATCATCTCAGAGAGCCCAGCACAGGGGGATGTTTTCACTGGAGCCACTGGTAAGAGCTCAGGTGTCTCCTAGACAGCCGTGGGGAGGAGGAAAAGAGGTTTGGATGCCCACTGTAGGAAGGAACATCTTGAATGCAACTCAAAGGATTTATTTATTGAAGGAGACGCTGCATAAGGCGCCGTCCTTCCTGTGAAATTATTTCAGCAGTTTGAAATCTTAGCAGTTGCACCAAAGGAGAAACTTTGTCCAGGTGTGGCAGCTGCTAATGTTCACCTCTGCTGAGTTCCTGGGATTTATGTTCATGTCTGTAATTTTTTTTTTTACTCCTCATTTAGCCTAAAATAGTACCAAAAAACCTGCAAACTAGGCGAGGGTTGAAATGGAGTGAAAAGTGCCAGGATAAGTCAAACAAAATATAAGTGCATGACATACATTTCAGTTCTCTCAGTTTGAACCGTGCTTTGGGTTGTGAGCTCTCCTAGGGGAATGATCTCGCTCCAAGAACCAGAGTTTGGAGCCCTGTAATGATCATGGATATTTCAGTGTGTGGGATGGAACCAAGGAACCTGTGGCTCTAAAGGTGAAAGCAGAGCATGGTGGAGCCAGAACCAGGATTCCTTGCTTGCTGACTGTGTGAGATCCTGCTGCTGTTTCACATTTTCAGCCCTTGGGAATTACCACAGAGTGTAGGAACTTGTGTAAAACATAAAAACATAGGGGTGAATGAAGTGTAAGACAAACACCTGCCAGGTGTGTTAGTGATTCCCAAGGCCCTTGTTCTCCTGCAGTTCAGGACACCAACGTCCAGCAGCCTTGCCGGGTGTCTCATCCAGAGCCTCACTATCCCAGTTACCAGGACAACTGCCAGATCTCACCTTTCCCTGAGGCTGCACTGCCAACGTCTCATCCCAAAATCGGTACGTTTGCTTTCACTGTGCTTCACTTTCCTCCCATCTCTCTCAACAAAGGTAAAGATTAGGGCAGAAAATTAAACTTTGCTCTATTTTGCTTGTGAGTTTTACAGATACTAAGATTTCAACAATCTGGTTTCCCTTTTGTGGGAGGTTTTTCATTCTTTATTGAGTGCTTTGATTTATTGATTCTGCCAGAGGCGGCTGCTGTGATTCTTCATCATGAGCTGTCTTGCATTCCCTGCCTTTCCTAAAGTTCTTGCTTGCAGACTCTTGTCCTCTTTGGGCACTGTGGCTGAACAATTATTTAGTGTTCGATCTGAGGAGAACAAACTCAATTAAAATCATGCCACAGAAGCTTTTCCAGACATCCTCTCATGGCTTTATTATTCCAGTGATGCATGCTGGGGATACTTTTGGCCAGGTTTGGTGTCAGTTTTCAGTCCTCTCTGTATGACCCTTATTTATTTAGTTGGAGTGGCACAGGATGTTCCTAGTCTCCAAAGTCAGATCTTCTTGTGTTTAAGACTTAGTCAGATCTTGATGTTACTAATTAAACATTGATTGTTTTTTCACCAGTGAATACTTTCTCTTGCCTGATGTACTTGTGCCAAAATGAGGAATCGGAAGTAATTCCTGTTTGATACGTTATCAAATGCATGCAGGGATAAATATTGTGCTGGAAATGGAGAGTGGGAAAGGCTCTTATGCAAACAGACATTGATAAAAAAGACTGCTTTATCTCATACTCATATCTAAGTGCAAATAGTTCTGCGCCACTCGTGTGTAAATTCATTAAAATTGCTGTTTTAATTAAGGGTATTTTGAGGTAAGAAGTCTGCACAACCCTGAGGCTGGTGGTACCATCTTTGTAGCAGTAAAGAATTCAGTGAGGAATGTCGTGGTCAGTGTTGGTAGATGTGAATGTCTTGGAATGAATTTTATGGCAGATGGTGAATATTTATTGCTAGAATTACATTTAGGAAAAGTAAAGCCAGGTAACATTTCTTCCTGGAATGTTACCTAAGCTGAGTTTACACTGTGTATGGTGGAGTTCCTGGGTCTGGATTTAATTTCATCCTACCCTGATCTCCCAGGGTACACACAAACCTAATGTGAAAAGTAGCTGGTTCAGTGACACAGTAACTGCTGGGTTATTAAAGGCTTCCTAACCCATGGTTTGAGGAAGTCCATGTTTGGAATACACTCACTTGGAGGTAATGGTGACTAACTGGGGTTAAGTCCAGTGCCTGGCCAGGGTTATGTAAAGGTCAGAATTCAAGAAGCACAGAGAGTGTGATGTGAGTTTTGTGGTTTGCAACCTGAGAACTGACATCTGGGTAGGATCATCAGGATGTTTCTGTAAAGTATTGGGTCACTGAGTGACTACTCTAACCTTACCTAGCCATGGCTGAGGGAAGTATTGTTGGCAGTGGTGGAGGAGTTCCTGGGAATGCTGCTTTCTCTGCATCGTGGTGCTTCTCTGCAGCAGTGCTGGGAGGTGTTAAACTCTTCCCAGAGTCATCCAGGTCAAGAGGAGGTGTTCTTGTCCTGTGGGTTTGAGAGTGCCCATGGGCTTGTTCTGCACAGATCTGCACTTGATGTTGCAGAAGGAATGATCTGTTTAACAAAAACTTTCCTGGACTGGAGATTCTGCAAACCGTATTTTAAAAAAGAAATCAAACGGCACAGAAAAACCACTAAAACCAAAACACCACATTTCCACTTTAAGGAAATGAAACACTCTGTCACTCTGTCTGTATATTCTCTTTTGTTCCTTATGTCCAGTGTTGACCTCTCTGCCTGCCCTGGCAGTGCCCCCCACGACGCCCACCAAAGCCATGTCGCCGTCGGTGGTGAACGGGCTGGAGGTGACGGAGCAGCGGAACTGGCTCTACCTGGAGGAGATGGTCAATTCCCTGCTCAGCACAGCACAGCAGCTGAAGACTCTGATTGAGCAGGCCAAGCAGGCCAGCTCCTCCTTCCGCGAGGCTGCTGTCACACAGGCCAAGATCCAGGCTGATGTGGAGAGGAAAGAGGTAACCGTGCCACAGGGGCTCAGCCATGGGCGCCTTTGGGGCTTAGTGGTGAGCAGAGTAGTTTCTGGCTGGAGCAGTCATACTGGAAATTGTTTCTCCAAGCCTTGAAAGCAATGTTAGCAAGAGAGATCTTCCCAAGTTATTTGTACGCTGGGGAAAGGAATAAAGTTCTCTGGGATTCCGGGAGCTGTGGGCAGCAGGCTGGTTGTGCAGGTTGTTTGGTGTCACGATCCTGAGCTCTCCCATCAGCTGACCATAAATTTATGGGATGTGGGCACTGAGTCCTGGTCTGAGGAAGCTGATGAGTGTTCAGCAGTGCAGTGGCTGCTGTCAGGTGAGCTGGCTTTCAATAGGATATGTGGAATAGCTCATCCCAGGTGAAGTGTTCTGTCCCAAGGTAAAAGAGGGAGTCAGGGAGGATTCTTTTTGATAAGATTTCTCAGATGAAAATAAAACACAAACGCGGCAATATTATATCTGAATATAAAGAAGGGTAAGCGTCCTACTGAAGGGGGATAGAAAAGAGAGCAGAGAGGAGAAAAGAAAGGCAGAGAAAGGAGACAGGGACGGCGTTACCGCAAGAACACCGGTGCTCCTCAGCGCTAGCTCAGGAGGCGGAGCGGAGTGTGCGTGTTGCAAGGCGCGGCGAGCCCGCGCGGCTTTTGTGAGCGCTAGGGCGCAATCTTCACGCGGCGGCGGCTGCGGGCCGCCCTGCGCGGCTCTTGCGAGCAGCCGCCGGCGGCTGCGGGCTCGGGGTGGCTGCGGGCGGCAGCTGCGGCCTTGTCTGGGTGCAGGCGGCTCAACGGGCCGGTGGCTACGGGCTGGTGCTGTGGCGGGTTGGTGGGGCGGGCAGCGCGAACGCAGCGGCGGCGGTCGCGGCTGGGTGCAGGCGGCTGCAGCTGCTCCTGGGAAACACGGTGGAGGCGGCTGGCTGCGGCGGCGCCCGCTGCGCCGGGGAGGCAGCGAGCAGTGAGCTGGTCGTCGCGGCAATGAGCTGGTTCGCTGAAGCAGTGAAGCAGGGCCAAGCACGGAGGGGCAGGGAAGCAGGACCACAGGGAGGAAAAGGTGAGGGGTGGGGTGGAAGAAGGGCCAAGGTGAGCCTCCAAGCTAGCCCCTGATGCCTCCAAGAAACCCAAAGCAAAATGGCTCGCCATTTTGTCGCAGTTAGCTGCTTTTATGTGCTAAGGCTCCTTCCACAGCCCGATTTCCCAGGCATTGTTAGTGGGCACCCGGGCCTTTGCCCCAAGTGGGCAAATGGGGTGGGTCGCTGACAGCTTGATCGTGGGGGTTTTTGCTGCCCTGACTGGCTGCCCGGCGAAGCCCTCGAAGGAACAGGGTTGCCAGTACATGTACAGACAGCCCTTGCAGAAATTCTTCACCTCATGTGTAACGTAGGTCGAACCATAAATAAAAATCAGATTGATCCCTCTTGAGAAGATAAGCAGTAATGTTTAGAGGTGTTTTGCTGAGAACTGTGCAAGTAAAGCTGACTCACACAAGTCCTATGGTAGGACTGGCAGGCTGCCTGGCCTCACAGGAGCCCTGGCTGGTTCCCATCTTCTCTCTATGGTGGACAGGGATTATCCACAAGGACTGCCCTCTTCTCCCTGCTCTTCTCTGTAACTGATGCACGGTAGGGATCTTGGATCCTTCTGACCACCAGCTCATGCATACACCCAAGTATAGCTTCATACTGAAGGTGCTCTCCCTTTCCCAGTGATCTGCACCTCATGTGAACTGGGGAGAGAGGTGGGGGCAGTGTTGGAACTGGTGTCACCATCAGTAGCTGCTGAACTCCCTTCCCAAACACCACTTTCCTGCGGGTGCCATCAGCATTGTGCTAACGTCAGCTTTCCACTGAATCCATAGGCATGAGTGTGCAGCAACAGGCCTGGAAGAGAGGTGTGGGAAGACTTTGCTGGAAGCTGAGGACCCCTAGGACAGTCCTTGCAGCCTCTTTGATATTCTTTGCCGTGTTGGCTCTGCTAAACTCTCCCGTACGATGCATCTTTGATGTGCAGGTGTGTGATATGTTGGGAGTCTAATCCTTCCCTGCCTCCCTCCTGCAGAACAGGTGCCAGTGCTGCTGCCCAGGTGTGGGCTGGCTACTGCTGGAAAGCGGCACAGAGTGTGAGACACTGAAATATTGGAAGCTTTGGCACAGTTCAGAGATAAACATCTGCTTTTGTTTAGCTTCACTCTGCTTTTTTTTTCCAGTCTATGTGCATCTTCCCTTCTGTTTATCCTCACAGTGGTTTGTGGAATGGTTGTTCAATCCCTTCTCCACACCCTCTGACCCAAAACCAGCTCTCTTTGATATTCTTCTAGTTACTTGTCCTGGGAATGGGAGTTAGAATCCCTCCTGTGTATGGATTAAAGCTGACTGGACATGGGAAGGATAAGCACATGATTTCCAGAGAAAGCCCCTTTCCCAGGAACTGCTGCATGCCCAGTTACACCACGTGTGTCTCACCATTCACAGTGTGTAATGGGGACCTCCACACTTGTGCACTGTGGTGAAACCATGTAGTCATGGTGGTATTTTTTTATCATCCAGACAATTCTAAGCTGTGCTGGCTGCTGGAACCATCCAGGCAGTATCACAAGTAGCTATCTCTGAATTAATTCCTGCTTGTGAACTCCATATTTGGACAAAACTCTGTGTTCCTGGATACAGGGAAGCAATTACACTAAAGGTCAAAGAATTGTCTCTCTGCTTTTGTGTTGGTCAAAGGGCCTTTCCCTATTTCCTAGTGGTTTGTAATGTGAGGCTCTTTCCCACTCCAAGTATGTGTGTGGTCCCATGGCTTTTTGGGCAGTCAATGTATATGAGAGGCAGACAGAGAGGTCATCGTGCCCTTCAGGAAGGGATTTTTTTCTGGACCATTTTAATACAAAGGAAATTGGTGCTTAATTACCACTTAGTTTGTTCCACTGATAGAACTTCCAAGAGTGAGCAGTCAGGGGGAGCCTTTCCTGGCAGTGTCATTGTGTTGGAGCTGCAGAGCAAGGATGGGCCACAGATGAGATGATAACAGAGCTGCAGACTCAGCTCTTCCTGGAAGAGAGACTTAGTACAGAGCAGTATTGTAGAGATCTGATAGAAAGAGGCTGGTTCCCAACTGGATACACAAACTTGGGTGCCTCATTGTATGTTACACATCACCCACTATACTGTGTTTCGGTATTATATTTATTATTTAATGAGCTTTGGAGTAATTAAATAGCACAAATGAGCTGTCCTGTTCCCACAGAGCAGCAGTTAGGTTGCTTTAGCTTTAAACAGCAGGAGCTGTGCTCTGTGCTGGGCAGTGTCAGTGCTTGTGGGACTCACACAGCTCTGAAGTGAGGGGTTTGCACTCTGCCTCCCTCCTTGTACCATCTCAGCCCTGTGTCAGGGGCTGGGGACATCCTTATCCCTTCTGAAGGAGCTGTTCCAAGTGCTGGAGATAAAGGCTTCACCAGCAGGGAGGTTTTAGTATAATTTAGTATTTTGGCAGTTCTGACATGCACTCAGTTGCTCTCTTTGTACTTCTTAATTTCTGTAAATTTGTTCAAGGGTCATGGTTTGTTGGGCAAATTTCAAGACTGAGGATCTGCTTCAAATTTTGTTTCCATCTTTCCCACAAGGGATTTTGATGCCCCTGGGTAAGTCCTTGGCCTCACTGTGCCTCAGATGAAAATAACACTTCCTTCTCAGAGAGCTCATGTGCAAGTTTGCAAAGTGTTAGGATCCTCTGAGTAAGGTTACATTTGTGTTGCTTAGAAGTCCTGGGGAATGATATCCCAAAAGAAAAGCAAACCATGAGCCCTCAAGCTCCATGTTTATGTGAACTTCCAAAATGCATCATGATATTGCAAAAAATGGGAAAAAAATGGAGAGATTTATAAGATTTTTCTGCATTGCAGCATTTTGTGTGGGATTTGTTAAATAGAACTGCTCTGCTTGAATTTCATGTGGCTGTTAAGAAACAGTTCTCGAGTATCATTAGTAATTAGGTTGTGGATGAGTATCTGATCCCCTGGTTAATATCTCCATGTTGGCTTTACTGCATTTTTCGGTAAGGAAAGACATTTAGGAATTTAGGTTGAGTGGAGTAGCAAAGGCTCGGTGTCTCTTGCAATAGATATTTGACATTTGCAGATCAGGCCCAAAATTAAGAGATTAAAGGCAGGACTGATGTGTTGGTGGGCTTGGGCAATGTAATTTTTCTGAGTGTGTATTAATCCATTGTTTATATCAGATAAACTTTAGGATGGGGACATTACACATACTCAACTAAATTCTGTGCCAGAATTGCTGGGGAATAATGAAGAGATTCAGGAAATGCATTAACTGTATTTTGTGTATAAGTTGAAGAGAATGAGTGTCAAAATCCCACAAATGTTTTAATTGGAATAGCCCTCTGTAAAGCAGAGATGCTTCTGGAGCCCTGCCTGTTTGAAAGCAAGGTGGAAAATTAAATCAGCAAAGAGCTGAGGCATCTGAATGCTTTTTTAGAAAGATTAAACCAATTCATGGCTGGAAAGTATGAAATTAATCTAAAAAGGGTTGGACAGTTAAGAAATGTCTCTGGTCAGCAAACAGTGGCTTGTGTATTCCAAACTAGCAGTGATACTCTTGGGAATTGGAGATTCTGGGTTTTGTGGAGCTGTTTCTATGAGAGATCTGAATGTGTCTGGCTTGTTCCTCTCTCTTATCACACCTTTTCCTTCTCCATGGTTTGTACATGGCTGGAATTGCCTTGTCAAGTATGGCAAAACCAAATCACACCCCTGGCAGGACACAGCAAGAGGTTTCTCTGCCTCTGCCTCCATCTGCCTGGAGTTTTTTAACTTAGTTTCTGTCACAGTAATATCAAGATTTTGAATATCAAGGTTGTGGTTTCACAGGAGAATAAATACTGTGCTCTCAGGTCATACACTTGTAAATTAAGCCTTTAATCTCCTTATATGTTGAGTCAACTCCTGGATGAACCTGCTTGGCCTGGAGGAAGGGGTTCAGCTTTTTTTTGACTTTTTAACTGTTCCAAATACATTTAAGCCAGGGTTAGCATATAATTAATTTGGGATTGGGTTTGGATGCCATTAGTTTGGGACTTCTGTCCCCCATTGCTGAGCATGTTGCTACTGCAACAGGTACAGTAGCACCTGGTTGGGCTTGAGTTGGTGTGAAGTGATTCTGCCAGGCAGCCAAAGTGGACTCTGATCACCTCCAGAGGACTGATGGAGACACAACTTGTTCTACAGCCCTCTCACTCTTCTGTTTCAAGGAGGAGTTATGATTATGGTTAGTGCTGCTCCTAAAGTCTAAGGTGTGTTAATTTTGTTTGGCTTTTTTTTCCCCCTAATCCTTTTTGGTGGGCTGTACCTTCCCTCCAGACACCTTTGTCTCTTTGTGAATGAGGATCACTGGACTTGACCCAAAATTGGGCTCTGGATTGTGCCTCTTGGCCCTGTTACCTTGGCATTTTCCTTGTGTTTCCTGTGCTTATTTCCCAGTTCCCATGTGTGGGGGGTTGCAGTTAAACCCCCCCTTTTAAGGACAAGTGTGTGGCTGGATGGAATAGGGAGCTGGGTTTGGTGGAAGTGCTGCACAGAACTGGCAGTTTGTCACCTCAGGCCATTTTCTCACAGGCTCCTTGCCCTGTTTCCGCATCAGGTGACAGTGTCCTTCTCCTAAAGTGAGCAGTGAGGGGTCACCCTGTCCTCTTGCAACTGCAGTGTGGGGCTGGGCAGACACAGCTCAGCATGGGGACCCTCCATCCCAGCACCCTTTCCAACCCCTCACGTTGTGCTCCAGTTGGGAGATTACATGTCTGGTGTGTTTTTCTTGCAGCAATACCAGAGCCAGTTATTCCAACAAACAGAGGATGTGGATGGGAAGACAGAAATCATCATCAAGGTAGACTGGGGATGTCTCATGTTGTGAAGAGCCTTTTTGTCATTGCTGTGGAATCCTGTGCTCTGTGTCTGGCCTTCTGCCAAAGGATCTGAGCCCTTCCTAGTAGGGCCAGTGCTCCAAGCAGTGTCTCCCCTTTCCCAAGCATTCCAGTTTTCTATGCTCCTTCACCTGGCCAGGTTCCTCAGCCTCCCTCACCTCAGAATGGTGGTGCTGCAGCTCTGGTGAGTGGCTGTCACAGAGCTGTGACAGGAAGAGAATTTGTTTCCTTTCTGTCCTGTGAGCTGATTTTCATAACTCCACAATTTCCTCTGGCTTTTGGAATGGGAGTTAGTTCTGGACCCATGACTGAAGCTCTTAGAGCTGTGTTGCTCAGTTCTCTTTCATATCTGCAGGTACAACCATGCCCTGTGTATTTTCCACATTTTCCAATAGCTGTACAGGTTACAAACAGCCCCAGTCAAGTGTCCCTTCAGGGCAGGCTTTGCAAGTCCCAAATCACAGCTTTAAGCCATTTTTGGTGTCCCAAATCCACAGCTGCACATCAGGAGCACAAACACAGTTCAGTCTCACCAGCTGTTCCCTGCAGGTACATGGAAAGGTGTGAGAGGGGGTGTTAATCAGAGCACTGATTTTTGGGGTGGTTTTGCTCAAAGAGAGAAGAAGCCTGGAGGAACTGATGAGCCTGCAATACTTTCACAGCCCAGCAACACTTCCTGTCAGTGCTGCCTGATGTGCTAATGATTTGTCAGGCATTTAATGAGCTGGAAGTGGAATGCTCTGTGAAGTGCTTCTTTTGGTGGCAGTTCAATGATGTTTCCACCTAAATATACAGGTTACGTTAATTGATGTCGCTAAAATAAGATTAAAGCGATAGACACAAAAACATCACTTAAAAAGCAGGTGTGATTTTTCACCTGTTTATCCTATCTCGCCTTGCTTCTGGATTTAAATCCTGGCTTCTGTTAGAGCCTTCTTAATTTGACTCCTATTTCCCTCTTGGTACACTCCTTATGTAGTCATGACTGGAAAGGACCAAGAAATGTATCCCATAGGAGCAGATGCCTTTTTCCTCTCTAAAACTAGGTCCCATCCTAGTATTCTTAGTCTGTTGTCCTTCCTCAGACCTTCTCTTAGACATACACAGGATTATAAACCAAACAAAACCACCAATGAAATCTGCCTTTAAGCCTTTAAATTTGGGATGACCTCAGAGCTTGTGTTTTAACAGCCTGTGCACAGCCTGACATGCCTGGGTGAGATACACCCAACTCCTGTAGTTACCCGACTGATGGATACCGGGCCTATCTGGAGGGAGGTTTCCCTGGGGTGGTGGGGATGGATTTCCATGACCATTCAGTGTCCACACAGTTTTGGAGGGCTTTCTGCCTAACAGCAAGAAAAACAGAGGTGCATTTCATTTCCAAAGTGTTCCCTGCTAAAAGAGCAAGGAGAGTGGGTCTCTGAGGGTGTATCCAGAGGCCACTGGGCCTGTTTGTTGTGGGTTGTTGCTGAGGGTATTTTGGGAAACGGGAGCTTTCCCACTGCTCTGGCATTCCAGCCATCACAGCACTGCTGTTGCACCTCAGTGATGCCCCTGGTTTGTCTCTGTGTGACTTGTCCCTCTCCATCCCTTCCCACAGCAATCCTGTGCCAACTGTGGACGGGAGGCCACCAACGAGTGCACAGGATGCCACAAAGTCAACTACTGCTCCACATTCTGCCAGCGAAAGGTATCAGCCTGCTTGTGACTTGGGATTCAGTTCCCAAGAGAGGGCAGTGTGAGGGCTGTGTGACCCTGGGGACAGCCAGGCTGCTTGAGCTGTCACCTGATGGGTGTCAGTATGGAGGGAGGAATGGACAGCAGAGCCAGGCAGTCAGAGCAGAGCCTTGTGTGGCTTAAGCACTCCAAACCCACCCTGCTAGTGCGATCACCAAGGCTGTAGTGATGGGGAAGGTCTGCAAGTCAGGACAGGGTTAAAAGGGTAGAGAAGATCCCCAGGTTTGCACACACCTTCCCAAAGGTGACCCAAAAAGTACAAGTAACACTAGAAATGAAGCATGGACACCTCACTGGGCACTGTGAGGAGCTGGGAGTACTTTTACATCCCCTTCCTGCTGCTTCCTTCCTTCCCTGCTGCTCCTGCCGTGGCACTGAGGACATAGTTCTCCTTTCCATTATTTGTGATGCTGCAGGTGATACAGTGGGACAGACTCTACAATTGTGAACTTAGGAGGTGGGAAGAGGTGTGAAGTACAGTGGAGGAAGCTGCTGTGTGTCATGTTTCTGACCAATTCCTTACAGTGACCCTTGGCCTTTGCTTGGAGAGAAGGATGGTTCAGTTTAGCCAGTTACAGCTTTGCTGAGCGGCCAGGTTCAGGCTGAGTCAGCTGTCCTGAATTCAGTCAGTTCCAGAAGGATTCTGTTCCTGTCCTAGCTGAGCTAAGATCCTGCACAGCACTGTCCCTCGGGAGCACTCAGTGTTGAGAGCTGCCTTTCTGGAGAGGCTTTAAGTCAAGGTTCTGACTCAGTTTTAGTAAATTTTCGATCTGACTGACACTGATATCCCAGATTGTGATTTGTGTGGAGATGGCAGCATTCTGCTTAGTCCAGTTCCACCTCTTACATTGATCCAGTGCATGGCTCCTTTGTCCTCCATCATCGGTCTGGTTTGTGGAGAGAGAGTGCTTCTCTCACAGAAAGGGCCCTTCTTCAAGGGCTTGTTCTGCTCACAGCCCTTCCCTCTGCTCTCCCCTGGCAGGACTGGAAGGACCACCAGCACATCTGTGGCCAGTCAGCCACGGTGACGGTGCAAGGAGATGAGGTGCATGTCCCGGACAACGTCATGGAGAAGGTCACCGTGTGAGTGCTCTATCTCCGCAGCCGTTCGTGGACACGCGGGGCCGGCTGGATCGGCGACCGGCGGGAACGGTCTGTCCTGTGCCAACAGCACTCTTCTCACTAGCAGACTCATTTTTCATAGATTTTTTTGATACTGTGACAGCACTTGTCTATTCCCAATCCCCTTTCAAAGCTTTGGATAATACAGAGGCTGTGAAAACCTCACCTGGTACCCTCTCCTTTCCGTCCCAGCCCCAACTGGCTTTGGGAGGCTTTGCCTTTGCCTGACTGGATCTTCCACCATGTGGATTACAGCAGTCTCCTCATCTCTCTTGAGATGGATCTGAAGCAGATGCTGTGAGGAGATCTGCCAGTGCTTCCTCCTACTGGGACCTCCCTACCTCTCCTTACAGAAGAGAAACAAGTCTTTGGTTGGTTTATTTAATTGCCTTGACAAAGTTGGTACAAGTTCTTAGTTTGACATTGAAAGGGTTTCCTGTGTTCCCTCTGTGCTGGGCAAATCTGGAACACATTGGACTTCTGCACTTAAACATAGTTGAAAAATAACATGTTGCTAAATAAAATATGCTGAAAGCACAAGTGTGCCCAGTGGTTCCCCTTCATTCCCTGGGCAGCACTTAGCAGTACAGGTAACTGCTCAGGTGAGTGCACCAACAGTTGCATGTGTGTCTGTACTCCCTGTCTACCTGGGAGATGTTTTCTCCACAGGGAAGCACAGCTTCATTCCACAGCGTGCCTGGAATATCACTCATAGCATCCAGCTGGCCAGAATCAGATGGGATCAAGCCCAAGGTGAGCACAGGTGGATATGGGGCTGTCCTGTCTTCCTGTCTCTGCCCTGTAGGAGCTGCTAATTAGAGATGTGCTGACCGTTAGGGAGTTACTTGCTTTGTTCACTGCAACAAAATAATTTTAGTTATTAATCTACTATTTTAATAGTTAATTAAATCCTTTATTTGTTAATTAAGTTAAACCTTTGTTTGTGATTGGAGATTTCAGAGGAGTCTTGACAGGTGCGCGAGCCTCTGGTTGTTTGGTTGGGTTTATTCTTAGCTCCAGGCATAGCCCCTGTTAGGGGGCTGTTAGTGACCCATGAAGGGTCACTATTGTTTGCTCTGGTTGAGGGGTCACAGCCCCTGTGAGGGTTCACTTGTCCTGGCTCTTGTTTGATCCAGTTTGGTGGTGGTGGATGAGGATGGCTGTTCAGCTCTTGCTCCAGACGGGGTCAGCTGAACCACAGAGTGACCCACACACGCTGTCAAACAGAAAATTCTATCCTGACTTACAGGAAACTTAAAAAGAGAGAAAAATGCCATGGAAAAGACTCAAAGGTGAACTCCAGGGAAAAGACTAGAGGTTTCTGACAAATCTATTCCTTCCACTTTGCATCTTAAAGGTTTGTTACGTTGTATTCCATGTGTTCCAAGGCAGTAGGAGCTGGTTTTCCATCTCTCCGTGGGGTCTCTCAGAAGTGCCCTTGGTGGGTTTGCCAGTGGCACCAGCTCCTGAGGGGCATCGGTCCTCACTGTCCAATGGAGGGAGGTGACAGGGCTCCCGCAGTCAGTGGCAGGTGGTGAGTGTTACTTCCCAGCTGTTTCCTGGGCAAGTTATTCCTCCTATCACAGAGCTGAGCAGGCCCAGGGGGCAGTACTGCAGTGCCATCGAGGGTGAGGAGCCGGTGGCCACAGCGTGCAGCTCTTCCAGAAGGAACCGTGCTTCCAACGAAAGCCAAGCAGGAACTCAGGCAGGATGGCAACAGAAATTATCTGTGATACTCCTGGGAAGGAAAGAACAGGCAACTCCTTCCATTCCCACAGCAAAATGCTCACTCCTGTATTCTAAAGTAATAGGTGAGTGTTGGGAATGGTTTCTGCTCACAGTTAAATGCTGATTGCCCGTTGTCTAGAACTTAGAGACAATTAGTTAATTGAGAAGACAGTCTTAATTGAGCCCACAGTAACGCAGCTCATTTACAGGGTTTCTTGCATCCTGCATTTGAATGCAGCAAAAACAGCTCTGAAGGAGCACCTCTGGAAAGCCCACAGTACCCTGGTACCTGGGGCAGCTGTGCCCCAACCCAGCATGTGACAGCTCAGAAATGCACAATACAGTTGTGAGAACTGAGTCTGTTTGCTGATGAGAAATTGAGTGCTTGCTATTTTTAGTCTAAGCAACACTCCAGACGTTCCCTTTCCGTTCTGCTTCCAAGCAAATTCCCTCCTGGAAAGCAACAATCCTGTACAAAATCATTGCTTGGAAGACTGTAATGTTCTGAAATATTCTTTTTCTCCTCTCCAAGCCTCAGTGACGAGCATCACCTGTCCCACTGGCTGCTGTGGCTGTTGCTGCATGCAGGTTCACATAAATGTACGAAGGATTTTTCCTGAGGCTGGAAATGTTTCCTGGCAGGAATCGTGTGGCTTCACAGGAAATTCTGGAGCACTAGCAATAACATTATAGTGTCTTTGTAAGACCCTTGTTACACATGAGTGAAATCAGTTTTTGGGTTTAAAAGGATAAGGGGAAAGGAGACTGCATAGGTAGATTCACCCTCACCTGGCATATGGACACCTGGAAATTAGCTTGGTATCCCTGTCTGGCATATGGACATCTGGGAAATGAGCTTAACAGCCTTTTTTGCCTCCAGACTCATATCCATGTCACCTCACAGCCCTGTTAATACCACCCCAGAAGGCAGAAGATTAGAAATAACTGTTATTATCCCTGCTTACATCAAGCAGCAAGTGTTAAAGAAGTGGCTACACTTGGCACTAACCACTGGGAAGAGGATTCAAGCTGCATCCACTGGCCCTCACCTGTAACACCTTACTACAAGGACCTGGGAGTCCCTTCCTTCAGCTGCCAGCTCTCCTCATCCTCCCCTCATCCCCCAACAAAGACAGCAGACCAGAGGCAGAAATAGATCTTTAATGAACTATACAAAAAATGACCCCGTGGTTCCTCCTGCGCGGAGGGCTCAGCAGAAGAGGTGCAAGACTTTGCGGAAGAAGTTCCTGAACTCAGCGTTGAACACGGTGTAAATGATGGGGTTGAGAGCACTGTTGACGTAGCCCAGCCAAGTGACAGTGCTGGTGACTTGAGGGGGGATGGAGCAGGACTTGCACAGAGCCCTGGTAATGTGCACCACAAAAAAAGGTGTCCAGCAGAAGAGGAAAGCACCTGCCAGGAGGAAAAAAAGAGAGACGGTGATGTGAATGTTCAAAAGAGTTTTATTTAACAAAGCCTGAGCCAAAAAAGACAGACACAGCTTGGGCACTCAGGGAAAAGGCAGCAATTGTGCTGCCATGTGAAGCTGGGCTTATGTCCAGACAAAAAATTGGGATGTTTTTCCTGTCCTAAACATTGATGCAAAGTCTTAAAGTTAGTCTCGCTTTGACTTTGCATGTAAGATATCGGGAGTCACAGGTTTGCCTTGGAGGGAGGTTAGGTTATAAACACTGCACGTGTTCATTCTCAAGGGTGGTGGTTTTTGGCACTGCTCTGCATTCGCCCAGGTCCTGCCAGTCTGAGTGCTGTGGTGTGACAAGGTGGCACATTTCCCACCCTCCCCAGCCATCCCTGACAGCCACTCACCGACAACGACCGGCAGCACCCGCATGGCCTTGCGCTCCCGGCCGTTGATCTTGGCCCGCTTGCGCCCGTGCCCCGGCTGTGGGTACCTGAGGTGTGGGTAGGACACAGTCTGGATCCCACTGTTCATCCCACACTCCCCAGGGAGGCCGGCACGGGCATAGGGGCTGCACTCCAGCAGCCCCAGCCGCGTCTGCTCTCTCTCCATCAGGGTTGGGGGGTGATACAGCTTCCTGTTGGCTCCATAGATGCAGCCTCTCAGCTTGGCCTTCCGGGCTTCTTCCCAGCGCTTGAGTCCTTGGAACATGCCACAGTACAGAACCAGCATGACAGGGCATGGGATGAAGAAGGAGCAGATGGAGGAATACACGATGTAGTTGTCATCCTCCAGTTGGCACAAGCTGGGATCCCGGTCTGGGACATTGTTGAGGCCAAATATGACTGGGGATGCCACAGCAAAGGCGAATATCCAGGTGGTGGATATAAGGATCAGCTGCCGCAGGTCGATCTGCCGCCGGTTGTAGTTGAGCGGGATTTGAACAGCGATGAACCTGCCAACACAGCCCCGGGTGAGTCAGTCCTGGTGTGGTGGTGGCACCATGGTAATGTAACCAAGGGGCCCCAAGCTTCTTGTCACTGTCTTTCCCCCTATTAATTTACTTTACTAATAGCCGAGTCCTGGGCTACAACCAGAACAGCCAAGGGACAGCTCTGGATCATCACACAGTGAGCTTTCAGCTTGGCCACCACCAATGGGACACAAACCTGATGGTGGAGGACATTAGGGCAGAACAGCCTCCTTTGGGGAGGGCAGAATCCTCCCTGCTTGGGACACTGGCAAGGGCCTATGGAACCAGTGTGCTGCCCAGGCAAAGCCAGAGCAGGAAGCTACTCACCGATCCACGCTGATTGCACACAGGTTGAAGATGGAGGCTGTGCACAGCATCACATCCATGGTCATCAGGGCATCACACAGCACTGTGCTGAGGGACCACACTCCTCCCTGGAACTGAAAAGATCCCTGGGGTCAGCAGATGCTGTGTGCTTTAAAATGACAGGAACACAGCCATGCCTGGGTGCCTCAGCCACTCATGGTTGCTCCAAACAAGCAGCCCAAAGCTTAGTGCTCCTCCCATGGCATGATGCTCCCAGTGCAGCAGCAGCACATGGGAATCAGCCCCACACAGAGCCCACAGCCTGCTCAGGGCTTGTGGTTCTGGCCTGTCTGGAGAACTGAGCCCTCAGACCATCAGTACAGCCAAGTGAGTCATAATGGGCAGAGAGAAATGGACGCAGGACATTGCATTGCCTTGGGTAAGAGGTACCCCCAAACTCCTCAGACCCCCCAATTCAGGACTCCAAGATCTCCCCAACAAAGCAATATTGCCTGCACAACATCCTGAGCTCAGTCCCCAAGCAAGCAAGAGACAGAGCACAAAGTTCTTCCACTTGTGTGTCCCAGCTGCCCCAAGCCCCTATGTGAACAGTTTCCCTGAGTTGCAAAACTGTTCCATCCTGGCAGGCCAAGCACAAGTCCAGCCTCTGGAGACCAGGTCCAGGCAGTGAGTAACAACCTCTGATTCTCTCCCCATGGTCACAGGCACCAGGGCAGAGCAGCAGGGACCAGTGTCAGTGCTCTGAACCACCTGGAAGTGTTGACTCTGCCATCCTTGGTGATTTTCAGCTTGGTCATGTCTCAGCCAGCAGCACAAGCTCTGCACAGCCCATACCACAGGACAGACAGCAGGACAGAAATGGCTGATGCTCGTACAGCCTGAAACTACTTGCAGCACTTTGTTCCAGTTGAGTGCTTGTCTCACCCAGGTACAAACCCAGCTTTTCTTTTAACATTAATGCACTTTTTAGGCTGATACAGAAATAGGTCACCTCCATCTGATTCCTGTGCCATTATTCCCATGAGCTGCTTGAGCCCAGGCAGAGACCTATCAGTTTGCTTGCACCTGCACAGGTAAACCTGGAAGCTC